TCATGGTACCTGCTCTGACAGCGGCTTCATGGATTGACCCCCTACCTGTTCTGACAGCCAACCAACATGAGCACGTGCATGTGCACGTGCCGACTGCGGGCGAGAAGGCGAGGGCAACGGCGTGAAGGCGACGGTTAGGTTGAGGACGAGACGGTGAGGATGAGAAGGCGACAGTGAGGACAAGAAGGCGGCGGTGAAGGCGAGACGGCGGCGGTGAGGGTGAGAAGGCGAGGGCGCGGGCGAGAAGGCGAGGGCGCGGGCGAGAAGGCGAGGGCGCGGGCGAGAAGGCGACGGTGAGGGTGAGAAGGCGACGGTCCCGGTCGTAGGAATGGCCCCTTGGGAAGTTTCACTGGCGGGCGGAAAGCAGACCTCTGTCGAAGACCTGCTCGATACTGCGCAGTAGATTTACAGCTCGCTGTACGGCAGCAACTCACCATAGCGAGTCCATTGGACACAACTAAGCCCGCTTGGACGAGGACGTGTCATCCATCCGTTGTATTTCCTTGTGTTAGCTACGTTCGTGATGGGGAATAGGGCAATACCCGTCCATAATAATCAGCAGCAGATGCAAGATTTCTTTGGCGTTGTCGTGGGTGATGAGTGGCCACGGGCAGATCTGTGTAGTAATTAGCTGTAGGTATTACAGCGAGCCCCCAACCCCCCAACCCCCAGGGACCCAAGGGACCCAATACCCCAGGGTAGGGCCAGGTAGTAATTAGTCGTTTGGTTTACCCACCATCGTCCTGTTGCCCTCCGGATGTTGAGCTGATGAGGTGGGTTTGGCCGGTGTCCACATGGTGATGTCGTAGCGCTGAGCCGTTCACGAACCTCTCATATCTCTTTCGCCTTTTACTAAAGAGATCAGCGAGTACGGCTCACAAGAGGCGCATATCCCCATTATTAGCAAGGCTTTTGCCTTCACCCAATCAAATGAATGCAACAAATAGCTTGGTATTCAAACTGGTGCTCCATGGTCAATCGTCCGCCCGCGTGTTAGATGAACCGTCCCTTATCATTGCATAGTCGGCTGAGTGCGATGTCTGAACGGTGTTGTGTACGAACAGAACAATTCGGGTCGCTGTCTGATCCATGCACCGCTTTACATACAGCTTCAGATCGTCAACCTGCAACCCCCCGTCGTCAGCCCCACATTCACCACTCGTGGTCTGCCCGCCCGCATACGACCTCTCGCTAACCAGAAACGGAAATGAGAACGCGGGAAAGGCAAAAGAAGGGACAACGCGGGCCGCTACTAACAGGACCGAGCAACGTGTGCGCGGGTTTTTACCAGAGCGGCCCGCATGTGAATCTGTGAAGCTGCTCATGTCAACCACAATATTATCGGTATCACACAGCACAGTCAGCGGGAAATCATTTTTAACAACAGCACAAGCAACACCAGCGTCTGTGAGCCGTGCCTTTTCGGGCTTTGTAGGGGGCGCCGTGCTGGCTTGTCATCCCCCCCGCGGCAATAGGTGTTTTGTTTGCTGTGTCTTGCGCTGCGCTGCACCCGGGAGCCCGCAAACCCCAGGAGGAGACTGGCATGCGGACCAGTTTTGCCTCGTTTGTGAGTGGACCGGCGAGGTAGTGGTGGCCGCCCTCGGGAAGTGTTCGTTGTTCGTTGCTCGTGGTAGTTGAACAGCTGGCCTTCAAGCGAGTTCTCCCTTTGTGTTTGTCTTCTTTGTCTTCTTTGTGCAACCGTATCTCGGCTTTTGTGGTGTGTCGTCTCAGGCCCGTGGTCCTCCGTGTATCTCTTTCCTTGCTGGCTGCGTGGGGCTGCGCTTGTTTAGGAGAGTCTTCTGAGGGGCCGTACCTGACGTGGGTAGGTCTTCCCTTGCCTCGGTTTTTGAGTGTGTAGTGGAGCCCCCTGAGTAGAGCCCCTGCCCCCGGTGGTGTTTTCTCTTTGTTTTTGTTTTGGTGGTCAAGAGGAACGAGAGCGCTCGACTAGGCAGGCCAGGCGAAGTGGCGCCTCTCGTGCGGCTCTCGCTTAGTTCAGTTCGCAGTCTTCTGCGCCGCTGCGATGTCTAGCCAGGGGCTGGGAGAGTGTCCCGGTTGGCGTGAGGGAATGAGGCGCGCGCGGAGGAACAGACGGACGTAGAGCCGCACGCCCGTCCCTGCGCTGTGTTTCGGCTCGGTCAGGGCCCCCGGTGCTCGTCCTTTCTTGGGCGAGCCGCCTACAGCGTAACACCCCATCAACACCAGCTGCATGAAACAGTGACAGGCAAAGCAGTAGCAAGCAAAAATAGCTGTAAAGTTGCAAGTAACAACAAAACTGTAACAGGACACAGTAAGAAAACGATAACATAAGAAAGACTGAAACAGTAAGAGAGTAGTAAGAACTAGAAGCAAAGCAGTAGCAGTGCATCCGTACACCTTATACACCGAACAAAGTACATGGTACCTGCTCTGACAGCGGCGTCATGGATTGACCCCCTACCTGCTCTGACAGCCAACCAACATGAGCACGTGCATGTGCACGTGCCGACTGCGGG